TCGGTAAAGAAGTTGACGATGAGATGCTAGCTGCTCTCATGTTACAAGGTTTGACCGAAACTTTTCAACCAATGAGGCTTGCGATTGAAAACTCAGGAGTAGAGTTGACCACAGATTACATAAAAACCAAATTACTTCAAATGGAAGATTCGTATAACACTAGTAGTTCAAGCAGTAATGATATAGCATTGCGTGTTGATACACATAACAAGACTAGGAGATTTCCATACAAGAAGTCACAGAAGATAAAATGCTTTATTTGTAATGGACCACATAAAGCGAGAGATTGTCCAGAGAACTCAAAAAATAAGAAGGCTTCGTTAGCATTGGGACTTGCAACTTCAGGAAAACCAGACGAGTGGATTTTAGATTCTGGGGCATCAAGCCATATGACTAACAGCAAAGAGTATTTAATGGACGTTAGAATGTATGACAAAAAAAGTGGAAATCGGATGTGCGAATGGTAGTAAAGTATATGGTATTGGAGAAGGTTCTGTGGTATGTAAGGAGAATGTTGCAGGCGTAAGTGAAGTGATGTATGTACCACACTTAGCAACTAACTTGTTGAGCGTGAGTGCTATTGTAAAGAAGAATGTAGTTGTTGTATTTTCAGCGAAAGGCTATGAACTGTTGAAAGCGGATGGATGTAAGGTTACTGGTGATGTCTTATATACAGGTGTGGAGGATAATGGTGTTTATAAACTTAAGCTCTGTTCACAGGAGAAAGCACTAGCCTCGACTGTCAGTACCATAGACATAGAGTTGTGGCATAGACGTATGGGACATCTTGGTGTACGGAACCTTAAGCTGCTGAGAGACAAATTGGCTACAGGGGTAAGTTTTACTAATAATCCAGTTAACTTACAGTGTAGAGCTTGTTTGATGGGAAAGCAGACCAAACAACCGTTTAAAAAGGGTTTAGCAAACAGAGCTGATGATATTTTAGGTTTGGTTCATACTGATGTATGTGGACCAATGAGTAAAGACTCAATGTCGGGCTGTAAATATTTTCTAACGTTTATTGATGATTTTACAAGAAAAACTTTTGTATATTTTATCAAAAACAAAAGTGAAGTCTTTCAAAAATTTTTAGATTTCAAGACATTTGCTGAGAACCAGTCTGGAAAGAAATTAAAAATTCTTCGATCGGATAATGGCAAGGAGTATGTCAATGAGCAGATGAAGAAATTTTTGAAGCAGTGTGGTATACAACAGCAATTAACGGTTGAGTATACACCCGAGCAGAATGGAGTTGCAGAACGTGCAAACCGCACAATAACAGAAAAAGCTAGAAGTATGCTTCAGGAAGCAGAGCTAGATGAAAAGTTCTGGGCAGAGGCGGTGAACTACGCTGTGTATTTAAAGAATAGATCACCGACCATTGCAGTTAAAGGTAAAACGCCAGAGGAAGCGTGGACTGGAAGGAAGCAAGACTTAAGCATGCTACGAATTTTCGGATGCAAAGCGTTTATTCACGTACCAAAAGTAAAACGGACGAAATGGGACGCTAAATCTAAAGAAATGATTCATGTAGGCATCTGTGAAGAATCGAAAGGCTACCGCTTAATAGACCCAATAACTAATCATTTAAGCAAGGCCAGAGATGTTGTGTTTTTCGAGAACGAGAATATAAACTGTAAGCAAACAGTTGAAAGAGTTGAGAAGTCAGCACCGCTTAGTTTTAAGGATAACGTCACAGAATATGAAGATCACATAGAAGTTCAAGATTTTCAAAGAGATCAAATTGAATCGGAAAATGAACCTGTAAATATTGTAAGTAGTAATGATGATGATATTCTGCATGAGAATTTAGAAACAGAAACAAATGAAGAGAGTTCTGTTACAAGAAGATATCCTTTAAGAGATAGAAAGAAGAAAGCGATACCTGACTGCATTACATATCACACAATAGCTGATTGTGATGATCCGCAGAGTGTGGATGAGGCATTGTCTAGAAGAGACAAACACTTATGGAAAGCTGCGATCGACGAGGAGCTTAATGCACTCAAGAAAAATAAAACATGGAAATTGACGTTACCTCCAGAATCTTGCAACGTCGTTGATTCTAAATGGATATTTAAAATCAAAGAAGAGGCAGGGGGAAATAAGAGATACAAAGCACGCCTAGTTGCAAGAGGTTTCAGCCAGAGGCATGGAATAGATTATTTTGAGACATTTTCTCCAGTTATTAGACATAGCTCTTTGAGGACATTGATTGCATTGGCAGCTCATATGAATCTTAATATAGACCACATGGACGTGAAAACCGCATTCTTGAATGGTAACTTGGACGAGGTGGTTTATATGAAGCAACCAGAGGGTTTCGTTGAAAAGGGAAAGGAGAATTATGTGTGCCAGTTGCAAAGATCATTGTACGGACTTAAACAAGCTCCCAGAGCATGGAATAAAAAACTTCATTTGGAATTGCTGAAACTTAAATTCAAGAGGTCTGAGTATGAACCATGCGTTTATATTAGATCTACAGGAGATAAAGTAATTATTCTTGCCATATATGTAGATGACATTTTATTGTTCTGGAATAATGTTGAGGAATTAAGGAAGGTTAAAACCGATCTCACAAACAAATTTGAGATGAAGGACCTTGGCACAGCGAAGTTGATGTTGGGAATACGAATAGCACAAGATAGTGAAGGGATCAAACTGGATCAGAAGGGATACATAGAGAAGGTTATTCGTACATTTGGAATGGAGAACTGTAAACCAGTTGCTACTCCAGCAGTACCAGGACAAAGGCTAGAGAGGCCACAGCTTGATCAAGAACTTGATGAAAAAGTACCGTATCGCGCATTGATTGGTTCACTGATGTACCTTGCTGTTTGTACGCGCCCTGACATAGCACACACACACAGTAAGTCAGCTCAGTCAGTTTAACAACAGCTACGGAGACGAGCATTGGATAGCTGCAAAGAGAGTGCTCCGCTATTTGATGGGAACCAAGGATCTAGCATTATTCTATAGAAGGGGAAACCAAAATGAGTTTGTATTAGGTTATGCTGATGCAGATCACGCCGGAGACTTTGATAGAAGATCAAATTCAGGTTGGGTATTTTTATCTCAAGGAGGAGCTATTTCTTGGGAGAGCAAGAAACAACGTACAGTGGCAATATCGTCTGCAGAAGCTGAGTATGTAGCGTTATCAGAGGCTGCAAAAGAGGCAATTTTCATTCGCAGGTTTATTGCAGAATTAAGAGATGGACCCAATCCCGCAATCTCAATTTTCACTGATAGTCAGTCGGCTATGGCAATTGCTAAGAATCCTGTACATCACCAGCGTACGAAGCATGTGGATGTAAGATATCACTTTGTACGTGAGGCGATTGAGAATGGTGACATTCATTTGAGGTACAAGGAAACTAATAGAATGACAGCTGATGTTTTGACAAAGTGTTTGTTGAGAGGTAAATTTGAATGGTGTGTGAAAAGCATGGGTTTGAGTTGTGTGTGAATAAGATGGCTGTTTATATGGTAGGTACACTAACAGGCATGAGATTAAGGAGGAGTGTTAGAGCGACAAATTGCTAGGAGTTTATATTTGCGTGTAATCTCATTGCTGTTATTCGTATGGTTTGTGGTTGTCAGAATTATTTGAATATACTGACTGACATGCACTTCAAGTTTTGGTTGTTACTTGCTTAGATACGTTGTTTGTACTCATGTGTTCTATTTTGTTTGTAAATATATATTAAGTCAATATTAGCTGGCATTCTTTATTTATTATATATGATCGAGGTTATCTAGTCCTCGATCATATTATTTACGCTATTCACTATAATATTTCTAGCCTTTAAATCAATTTTTCTCCATTCTGTGTCTGTCATACCTTCATGTTTCATATCATTTTCCACAGCTTCTTGGCATTCTTTCATTTGTAACAACAACTTTAATCTAAATTTCCATTTTTCATAATTTGCACCATCAAATATCTGAATGCCCGCTTCTCCTATCTTTACTTCCATTTTCGGTAGCTTACGTCTTCAATTGTTTCGGTACTGACCTTGTCAAATAATTTCCACTTATCTTCCTCTTTCTATTTATTTTATTTAACCACGCTCCTTTGCTACCATGTTGAGGAAGTGGATCGTAGAAAGGAAAGACAATCAGCTCGTAATATTTAGTTTATGTAGTCCCAATCACATTATATTTTTATAGGTATACACCGTTGACGTATTTGCAAAAGTCCTAGAATGAAGTAACGGTGACATAGAGAACAGGCCATCGAGTCGCCCTAACAAGAAGGTTTTACATAAAATCATATCTTCAACACCTATGACAACCCTATAAATGCGTACGATTACTACTACCTAAACAGACCCCCCTCTCTCTCCAAGGCGCCCCTGCGCCCCGCTCAGATATCTACAAATTTTTCATTCGGAATACATACCTACAAATTTTATTTCGGAATTCTGTAACACCCTGTATAAGGGGCCCGGTATGAGAAAATGTGAGGAGTAAAATCTATCGATGAATGACATTAATGACCTCGTTACGTTTTTGTGCGCAACCTCATCTGCGCACCTTTCACTTTTAGCCATGGCAACGGATAAAAAACATTAAGTTGTCACAAATGTCAATAAAATAAATAAACTAAAAATAGATAAAATCGGAGAAAAATTAATGAAAACAAATAACAGAATATAGAGAAATGCCGGTAAGTGTCCAGCATTCTGGAATAGTGATTTTCAGTACAGAAGGAATTATAATACATATTTACAAAATGATGACTAGTGTGTGATATTTTTGAAATTGTGTGTTTCCAGAAATACATAATAAAATATATGATGAATATCGCTGATGTTAAATGATAAAATGTGAGACATGGAACCTATGATAGTCGAAACCATGGGACGATTCCTGAGGTATCTCTACTTGTAACCGACTTCTTCGGACTTGATTTTGTTTTGTGTCTGTTCAAAGACAATCGTTTTAGAGTGTAAACTCCGGTCGTGCGTCGGAGCTGACACACACAATTTTTTAAAGGTATCGATACTTGCCAAAACGTACTCATTAAGTAAAAGTATCGAATACAAAGTATCGAGTACAAAAGTATCGGTATCGAAAGGAAAAGTACTCGATACCACAAAGTATCGATACTTTTTTCGTGTCCCTAAATATGTGAAAATGTCCGTGTGCATGGTTATAACCTATTCATAATTTAGATAAACATAAATAAATAATTATATTCGACAATCCGTTTAGTAGACACTTCAGAAGGAGAACGATAAATGGATATACTGTACTTCCAGGGCCCAAAAGTAAAAACTTCACAGTTTTGTTGGTTGTAATTTCGCATTTTTGTTGTTAAAAAGGTTTCTGTTAACCACATTATTAAAAAAAATGTCACACTTATGCACTGGTAGTTTTTTGGAAAAAAATATTGAAAATTTTTACTTTTCTTATCAAGTGGTGATACTTCACACTAGGTTAGGTTAGGTTAGTGTTGTGACCATAACGCGCGAGCCGAGCGAGCAAAGCGAGCGTGCCGCGGCAGCGGCCGGCGAAGCGCCAGAAAAAAAAACTGTTAAAAAGACCTTTTCTACAAAAAAAAACAAGTATCACCTTTTGGGCCCTGGAAGTACAGTTTTACCCGATAAATATCTGTTCTCTAAAGAATTTCATAATAAACTGTATTTGAGTTGATAGCTATGGTTATCCTGTTCAGCACCACACGAGAAAAGATTAAATTATTATTTATAGTAATAATTATATTTATTTAAATTTCATATCTCTTCCATACATATTGCAGACTCATCCCTTTGCAAGGAAAGACTTTGGAAAGAACCCGTAGCCAGGCAATCTGTGACTGAAGTGGAAAAAATCGCTGCTATTATTAAATAAATAAAAAAATACAATATTCATAATATATTTTACACTCAGCCATGTCAATAGGCTGGTTTGAATCAATAGGAAAACCTCAGCTTGTGGTAGCTCCTATGGTAGATGCGAGTGAACTGGCTTGGAGACTCTTATGCCGAAGACATGGAGCTCAATTATGCTACACACCAATGTTCCACAGTAATGTTTTTACTAAAGATCCAAAATACCGCAAAGATAGTTTAGTGACTTGTCAAGAGGATCGACCTTTAATAGTTCAGGTAAACATGGTGGGGTGCATGTGTCAAATTTAGTAAATATTATTTTGGATCTTAAAAGGTAATCTTTTACAGTTTTGTGGAAATAATCCAGAAGTAATGGCCTCTGCTGCTAAAATGGTACAAAATCACTGTGATGCAATCGACATAAATTTGGGCTGTCCCCAATCAATTGCTAAAAGGGGAAGATATGGCTCATTTTTACAAGATGATTGGAAACTCTTGCAAGATATTGGTAAAAATGTACTAACTTATTAAAATTAAAAGAAATGTGATTAAGAAAATAAAATATTCATAATTTTTTGAATTAAGTGATTAGGAGACATATATTACATTTTCTGCACATTATTTTTGGAATAGCATGGCATAACATGTGTGTCACCATTAAATATTATAAGTATGAATGTCACAAAGTATACCTTTAATAAAAAAGAAAAAATATTAGACATTATAAATAATAAAACTTGCAACATTATAGTAAATTATAGTATTTATGGGATTGCTACCATGTACCCTTTTTATTATTAAAGTATAACTTCTATATAGATTGTTATTAGGATTTTACTATTACAAAAAAGCTTTACAAACTGTGGAGTGGGTTGTTGATGTATGGAGCGGTGAGATACTGCCCTTCCAAGGTTGTCCATTGAAGTTTCACTTCTACTATGTATCCCAGCACACATTAAGTTTTTTTATTTCATTAGATCTGAATGAGATTGAATCAAGTAACAAATTGCTATTTAATTATTTTCTGGAAGCTGCAAAATTGCTGTAATTACTGTTTTGTTTCAGTAACTGCAATGTCTAGAGCTGTATCAGTGCCAATCTCTTGCAAAGTGAGAATATTTGAGGATATTGAAAAGTCTGTGCGCTATGCTTTGATGCTGCAAGAAGCTGGTTGCAAAATGCTTACAGTACATGGCAGGACGAGAGAGCAAAAGGGTCCTCTTACTGGTATTGCTAGTTGGAAACACATAAAAGCAGTAAGGTATGTAATTTAGACTTATAGTTTAACATTTTTACCAAAATTTCATCATATTTCAATAGGTACCTTAGAAGCAAATGCACTATACATAGTTCCATCATCATCTGAGTTTCCAGGTTCAATTCCTGTGTGTAATAATGAAAGGTATAATGAGAATCTAAAGTGATCTCCATTAGTTTATTTTTCACATTTGTACATTTCAGGGAAGCAGTATCAATACCTATGTTTGCAAATGGAAATATACAATGTCTAGAAGATGTGTACAGATGTCTGAAATATACCAAGGTTGATGGGGTTATGAGTGCTGAAGGTGTACTCACCAACCCTGCTCTGTTTGAAGGTATTAACCCTGTGACTTGGGAAATGGCACTTGAGTACCTTGACTTGGTTGAACAGTATCCCTGCCCAACATCTTACATAAGAGGGCATTTATTTAAAATATTCCACAAAATGTAAGTTTAGAACCTATGGTTTGCTCTTTATAATTAAAGTAGTTATTAATTTATTTATATTTTGACCAAGGATTATGGAATAATTATTTAATTTATGGATACTTAACAAATATTAAAACATCACAACAGATAGGATATATTGGTCAAAATGTAATGCCTCACCAATGACAGGATAATTAAACAAACATCCCTTTTATCATCAATCATACTTGTAAAGTTTAATCATCATCAGCTGCATAGGGCTTTCCTATAAACAAATAGATTGGGTCATGCATGACTGCAGGCCCAGAGGCGACTATCACAATTAAATTTTACTGGTATTTCATGTTTCCATTATGTGAAATAGAAAATACTTGTAATTGCTTATTGGAGGAAATCCAATTTTTTAAAGCATGATCTTATATATTCTGAGTATCTCAAAAGCTTAGTAATGTGTGTAAATTTATTTTAATATTTAAAATATTCGAGGAGCTGGCGTACAACACGGTATAATTACATAAAATAAAATTTTACAGGAGCTATATAAAACTGAATGACATACCTCCAGTGAGCTTTTTGCATGGTTTTTAACTAAATTTAGTAATTTTAACTCTGTTTCAGGCGGTTTTGGTTGAAAATTATTTGAGATTCAAATTCAACGAGCCCGAAACCTCTGGACTGTAAAAAAAGAGTAGTTTGACCAGATGTATAATTATACCATTTTGTTCACCAGCTCCTCATTTCATATGCATTTTGTGCATTGCAGAGTTTTCCTTTTCAATATAGTTAATGTTTGTTTTTAGTTTCACATTTCAAGATAATTCCGACATCAGAGAACTTTTAGCCACAGGTCAAAATCTTGAACATTTCAGAGAAGTAAGCTTAAAAATTAAAGAAAAATATTTGCAATACCATGAGGGTAAAGCACATTTTGAAAATAGTGATAACATTACTCGTAATGGCTTTGATTTAATACTACCACCATGGATATGTCAACCTTATGTTAGAATATCTCCTGAAGAGCACACGAAAAAAATGGATACATTATGTAAGAATCAGGTAATTTTGTATTGTAATGTGTATGATTTAAGTAAATCTTGACAATTACTTATCAAAGAGTGATTGTCCAGTATGTGTGACATGAATGAAATGTTGTTTACCCTTTTCATCAACTGATAAACGCAACCAGTCGCTAATTAGTTGTTCCAAGTTAGACAAGGACTGCTTTGAGGCCCTCAATGGAGATAGAGGCAGTTAAATAACTTTCGCAATGTTCGGCTATAGGATGGGACCAAAAACTAATTATCTCGAGCTTTTCCGTGCTTCGGAAGGCACATTAAGCCGTTGCTCGCCGTTACCACCAATCCCAATCCAATAGGGACATTAATAATGGCTGATGACGAAGTTAGATAGTAATAGACTTCCGGCTTTCTTTTGGTTGCCATTTTGTGAGCTTTTGCCAATAATGAATGATGTCCAAAATGACGAATCGAACTCGAATCGACGAATTAAACAACTTGATTCCTTGATATTGATATGTTTCTTTTAGTTTGTGAATGGCAGTAAAAGGATATTCGAAGATCCTGATGGCAATGCTATATCAAGAAAAAGAATGAAAAAATTAAGAAAAATTATGAGAAGACCAGTAAAAGAAGATGAACAGCATAATGGAAGATCAGGGGAAATATGTACGAATGGTACCTGCCGTAATCCACTTGTAAGTTTTAATTATAGACTTGACTTGTTGATTTCAGGGCATTTGCTGCCTAAAGCGGGTTCTGAGGCTAATGTTACCAGCCCACTGCCACTTCAGTTTGCTAATTCGGCGGGCTATGTCGGTGACTCTGGTTCTCTGTCGAATTACATCATTTCTGATGCGGTCCTTCAGAGATACTCCGAGCATAGCCCTTTCCATAGCTCTCTGAACGACTTTAAACTGGTGGACTAGCCCAGCCGTGAGTGTCCACGTCTCGGCGCCGTATGTCATAACTGAGAGGACAGACTGAGACACTTTCGACTTGAGACATTGAGGGATAGGTGACGAGAAGACTTGACGAAGCTTACGAAATGCTGCCCAGCCCAACTGAATTCTTCTATGGGCTTCTCTCTCGAAGTTGTTTGTGCTAAATCGGAGCGTTTGTCCTAGATAGACATATTCCTGAACAACTCGAGAGGTACTCCATTAACAACAACCAGTTCCGGATCAACGAGCTCGTTGAACATGACCTTGGTTTCATCCAAGTTCATCCGGAGACCGATGCGTTTGGAAGTTTCTGCCAGGCTGCTCACCATCTCCTGTAGGTCTTGCAGGGTTTGCCCCAGCCAGGATGACAATATCGTGTGCGAATCGGACGTGTGAGATGTATTCGCCATTAATATTTATCCCGCGTCTTTTCCAGTTGAGCCTTCCGAACACGTCCTGCAGCGCAGCGAAGAAGAGTTTCAAGTATATTACATCGCCTTGTCTCACACCACGGCGCAGTAGGACAGGTCGGTCTGACCATTCTGTAGTACGACGGACATATTAGCGGCGTCATACAGACATCTCAGCACCTCGATATATTGCCAATCAACTTTGCCAAGTTGCAAAGCCTCAAGAACACTGCAGGTCTCGACGCAGTCAAAACCTTTCTCATAGTCTACAAACGCCATGCTGGTTAGGGCTGGTTATACTCTTTGGTCTTTTGTATAACCTGTTTCATTATGTGAATGTGGTCTATGGTGTCATAACCCCGTCGGAACCCGGCCTGCTCTGCAGGTTGAGGTTCTTGAAGTCTTCGTGCAAGGCGATTCGAGATGACTCTCGAGACTCAACTTTATAGACATGGCTCAGGAGCGAATTTGGTCGATAGTTCTTCAGTAAGGTCCATTAGACCCAGAGTCTCTTTCGAAAGCTTAGACCGCTTGCCCGTATGTCGCAGCTCACAGAATTTCGCACCTTCGTCCCGAAGGATTTGTACCACTTGGTCGAGTTCCTCGTCGATGTCAACGTCAATTGTGGTTTTCAAAGCAGCGAATCGATTTTCCAGTTTTATTTGGAATGCGTTAGAACCAACGGCCGATTGGAGCAGATTTGGCCGGAGCGTGGACTTCATCAATCGAAAGCGTTCGAAATTAAAATCGACATTCAGACTGCCTCTTAGAAATCGGTGATCACTTCCGGTTTTAAACCTATTGATCATGACGACCTCCGTGGTCGAGTGGTTTGTACGCCGGGTTTCATGGTGTCGCCGACTCGAGAGGTCCCGGGTTTGAATCCCGGTGGGGGCAGATGTTTGTGTGATGAATACGAGCATTTGTACTCCAGTCATGGATGTTTAATATGTATTTCTATATAAATATACTTATATATGTACAGTATATGTATTCTATCCGTTACCCTAGCATCCCATAACACAAGCCTTACAGTGCTTACTTTGGGGCTAGGCTAATTGGTGTGAGTGTCGGAAATATTTATTTATTTATTTACATCTCTGAATATGCGTTTCTTGTCCGATATGATGAATCATTCTTGGTTATAGTATCGGGGCTTCGCCACGTCCATTTCCTCTGGGGCTGTTTCTTAAAGAACGAATACATTAAGAAAAGCCCCTCGCGTTCTGAGAAATTGACGAGCATTTTCCCCCTATAATTCCTACTCCCATAGCCGTATGATCCTAACATCGATTCGCTGCAAGTCTGTACTCCCACTTTAGCGTTGAGACTTCAACGGAGACTCCCCATGACAACGTTAAAGTGAGCCTTGGTGGTGGTGTGTAAGGCTCGAGAGATGTCCTCGTACATCTCTTCCACGACATCATCCGAGTATGTCGATGTTGGAGCGTACACTTGTATAACCTTTAGTCTATACCTTCTGGTTAATTTTATAATGAGGTAAGCAACCCTCGTCAACACACTGGAGACTTCAATCACGTTGTCAGTGAGGACTTTGTTGACCAGGAAACCGACGCCGCCCTATGACGGATTATCTCCCTCTCTGAAGTACATAAGATGGCCAGACTCTAAGGTCAGCGTTTCCTCGCCCTCTCTATAGTGTAATTTGACATGAGTATAGTGAAATAAAAATTTGTATAGTGTAATTTGACATGAGTCAACTAGCCTATTTTGATAGCGCGGGTGCACAGTCGGTAATTGATTATTTATTTTTGTTGATCATACTCAGGATCTTATTTACCCCAGGGTCAATGGGGCCATGGCCCGGGGCGTCAAAACCCCATTCACGGGCGCCAAATCATAAGTGACCCAGGGACCTGCCTGATTTTAAATTACGCCTCTGATCATACTACCTAACTAGAAGACGATGCAGACTTGTGCTATTGCACAGTACCCCAAGCACGAACAATTAGCGTTGAAAGTATTGGTATCGTTACGTCAGTTTCCATGGAAAAAGCTACCGGTGGGGGCGCTGTTTAGTTTCCATTGAAAACTTGTCATTGGCGATATGAACACGAATGTGGCAAAGTGCTTCGTGCTCGGGGTACAGAAGACAGCTAATCGAGTGGGTCATGCAGCGCCGCTCTATGAAATAAAATAATTAAAATCACTGTATGGAAGCAGCTTATTAATTTTACTCTGAGGTACCTTACAAACATTTGAGTAAAGTTGGTTGAATATTTTCAGGGTGGGAAGTGTGAATACCAGCTGTGCAAAAAATGTTGCAAAAATAAGTGCTATGAGGAAGATTTGGACTGTAAAGGGCATAGGATACTTGTACATACTAGAAGAGAAATGGCCAAGAAACATGCAAAAGAAGTGACGTAGTTATATTAATATTATATTAATTACTAGTACACCCATAATAATGAGCTTCGTTTGACAACACCATTAATTTTAAATTATTGCTCCAATCAAAGAAACTTCTTCCTTCTATATTTTTTTGAACGTTATCAGAATGAAGCCCATATTATGGTAATATAATATTTTTGTTACCTACTTCTTACGTTGAATACCTTTGCCTATATTTATAATAAAACATCTTTTTTTACCTAATGGTTTTTGTATCGTTATTACCTACTTAGGCGTCGCGTCGCGCAAACGTACACTTAGATACTTTTTGTTGGCTTCATGGCCAGCCATTTTAGCACTTGTACTCACTGTATACATACAGGGTGTAAAACAACCTATGACAAAGACTAAAACTACGTATTCTGTACACCCAAACAAGTCATATTACAAAATATTATAAGTGGGAAAAAATTGTATTTAATGTAAAGCGCGTCGCGCTACTGTGGCGCTACGCAAAGAATGTGCCTGTGTGTAAGTGCGATAAAAAAGTTTCTTAATAACGTTTTGAAAATATTAATGTATACCTACATCTTGAAAAAAAAAACTGACTTTAACCTTCAATATTTCCATAACCATAAATTTCCCAGTATAGTCCAGAAGAAAAACATTATCGTCATGATGTGGAAAATACGGGGCCTTCGACTTCGTTATAGGTTATTTTACACCCTGTATATTTTGACCTTCATCGCTGTCCATCATTATCATAGATAGTTTGTTAATGTCGTAGAATAGTACCTACACAACAAGACGAAGTTCATGAACTTATCGGTTTTAATATTAGGCTCAGCCCCAGGAAACTTGGGTTGCTATTTTACGACAATGCTGTCACCTCGTCCCTTCTTCTTACTATGTTCGCTCTCTCTGCCTGTGAATCAGCAATGCGTAAGTGGACCTCCATTTTCTTATTAATGTATCACTGTTATAATTAATAAAGTGCTCCTATAAACTTTTTCCCTATTATGTTATGTATGTATGTTACTTTGTGGCACACTAGTGTGACCGACGATTGTGACCAAACCCGATTTTGATGATTCATATGTCAATCGATTCGTCTTAATCAAGTTTGTGCTACCAAAGATATGATAGTTATCGAAATTCAGTAAGGGGACAATGAGGTGCCATATTGTGACAAAGAAAAAAAATAACTTGACGAAATATGTCGTATACGATTTTCGTATGTTGCGTGCGCGTGCAGGTTGCCCGTGGTACGTGCGCAACATCGATTTGCATTGTAATTTCAATTTAGACTCCATCGCGAAGTAGATATATGAAGGACGCCTCGAGACGGTATTTTGATAAAGCCGCGCATCATCCATACCCTTTAGTAGTCCAAGCCATTAGCTATCACACGTCCGCCCTCCAATTGTAGGTCCCTCCAATTCCATCGGCCTAGGCACGTCTTAGAGTACCCCGACGACGAAATCACTCGCGCCAACGCGCCTCCGACTCCGCCCACACAGGCCACAAACACCAACACTACACAGCTAGCATACTTGCACACTAGCTTAGCATTAGGCAGACACCGCACCCGTGCGAAGACCCGGTCTACACATGACACGCTATACCAGGTACAGGTACGTACGAATATCTGGGCGTTTTTCTTTTCCCCACGACAACGGCTAACTAGAGCCGAGATCCGAGTCTCAGAGACGCCCTCTAGTTGAGCCGACCCCCTCAGGAAAAAAATGGGCTACTCGCAGTATCTAATCCTATGCGAAGCACTTACAATAAAACTGTGATAAAGTTCCTTCTTATTAAATGATGAAAAATAAATTATTATAATTGGTATTTAACATTTAATGAAAAACTCAGAATTATACAGTTTTTAAAGGACATTGCTCGTTCCCCATACATTCAATGCCCTAGAACGCTCAGCAATGTGAAAATGCTAGTTGTGTTCGGAATCATTCATAAACTCTCATAAGACATTTTGTTGAGATAGGGACAACTTGAACCGTGGCCTACTACAGAATGTATTAGATTTTGAGGTTATAATTATTATACTTAATCGTAAAAGATGTCCACTTTATATATTCTGAATAGATTTAGTGTCTACCTCTATGTAAGCACTTAAATAATATGCATTAAATGAACATAAAATGCAATTAATAATAAAAATAATAAATGCTTATATTCATATTGATTTATGAGTTTTGGCAGTTGGCACCTATGATACCTTTAACTACCTGTTGTAGTAATAGATTTATTTTCAAATGAAATGTTGAAAGTCTTTCCACTTACCAGTTTCTATATTTTACTATGGGTAATTAGGTATGTACCCGGTTATCATTATGATTTTCATAAAAATAAACAGATATTAAATGGGACGGGAGTATAAACTATCATAATTCATAATATAATACATAATTTCAGAAATAATCTTTTTATAAATATAATATAAATACTAGTGATAAGTATTATTAACTAAGGTACCTATTTCTATTCTTATCCCAATAAATACCTATGGTCGCCTATATTGCATTTATTAATAGATTACTAGATTTACAGTTGTTACTTACGTGGCTCGTACAGAGTGCCTTTGTTATTTATACACTTTTTATTCTCAAGTCATAAATGCCCTGCCTACCCTGAAAAGGATACATATATGCATGTAGGTATGCAATGTTAATCGATTGCTAGATTTAAAACCTTTACCCTTAGTACGAGTTTTACAATTACGAAAAATATGATAGTTTTCGTGAGTTCGCATTCGTACTAAGGGTAAGTACTGATTTTATTGTTTTCGTTTCAATACAAATAAACAGTGTTTAAATTCTGTCATTATATCATTTGCGTCTTCATAAATTAAGTATATTTACTTAATTTTCAACAAAATGGAGACAGAAACATAATTTACAATTCGAAAACTATGATAGTTTTCGTGAGTTCAAACTACTACTAAGGGTACTTATGTGCAGGAACGAAAAAGACGTCAACTTTTCTGTTGTATTACTTCATACCTACCTAATAACGAATTAAATGTTTTTTTTATTTCTTGTACACGAAAAATATAGTACTAATAAAAAAAATACTTAACTGATTGACATATTAGTCTTTTAAGCTTAGTTGTTTGATATTCTATTCTGTGAAGCTACTGGAATGAAGTCTCGATAGTTTTTTTACCATTTTCAGTTGTTATCATTCCATCGTCATAGAAACTGAAAGATTAGGTACCTACTTCTGTAAGTGCCAACCCTCTATTGAATTTCCTTTACGGGATGGAAATACTTAAGCTTAGTTCTTAGTCAAACAGTACCTACAAGTAAATATGTATTGACTTTTATAAAGTCAACATTTTCCTACTATAGAATCCTATTATATAGTTGTCTCTAGGGTATCGTAAACAACTAATGATCGAAATATGGGCAAGTGATTAGCTACTACAATGCGCGCGCATTGCCTGGGCGTACCTATTACGCCTGTGACATTAAAATTGTTCCAATTCCTGTTTTTAATGAAATCCAAGACGTGATACTCAATTGTTTCTGAACAAGTGTCTACAAATGCACAAATGTTGCACACTCAATCAAACCAGTCGGCCTCAGAGGAGGTTAAATGGCCTACAGTTACCGTTCAATTACTTACAAGTTATCGGATGGATAGTTTTTGTGATTACATGTGTCCTAAATTTCGCAATACTCGTGCAAATCCAAATCGCAAAAGTTAAGATGACAACACAAATAATTTTCGTAATATTATATGCTGCGCACATCGTTTCGCACCTTACTGCCACTCTACTAGATCCAAGTGAAGAGAATTTACGAAAACTAGAGATAAATACTGTTCCAGAATTTGATAGGAATATCCACGCCCATGTGATAGAAAATGGTAGATGCCATATATGCAACATATATACAAGTAGCAAAAAGACGAAACATTGTAGTTTGTGTAACAAATGTGTAAATCGCTTCGATCACCATTGCAAATGGTTGAATAACTGCGTGGGACAAAGAAACTACGGCGCGTTTATTGCGAGCGTTACTACTGCGTTACTATTGTCTTTGATGACAGCCTTGTTGTGCTTGGTAGATATCGTGTTATTTGTTACAGACCCTCAACAACTGAGTCCTGAAACACAATATGTTGCAAATTGCTCTGTCGTGGATTCCTCAACTCTTCACCACAATATTAAGTTTTGCAGACATTCAATAATGTTTTTAATATTTTTAGTTATATTCTGTGTCAGTGCTGTAGCTGTTGCATGTGCCTTAATACATTTATTGTGTTTTCATATATACATATCGATATTAGGTGTTTCTACCTACGAATATATACTTCGTAGCAGTATTTCTAGAACGACGGAAACGCAGTATAACAAATGTACCAGTTGTCCATGCAAATTACCTGGAAAATTGTACATAGTAAGCAAATCTAAAACCAATAATAATCTGAAATCTGAAGAATCGGCGACAAAAACAGCTGAGAGAGAAGACAATAAAGATGGTGTCCACAGCTCCCCTATAAGTGGTGGTGAAAGAAATGTAGCCAACATTATTGGAATATTGGTAAACAACGAGTTGGATAAAGCTAAAAGAATATTTATAAGTGACAAGAACAGAATACATCCCCAAGAAGAAATCAGTTAGGTAGTAAATGTGTATGTACTTTATTAATTCAATCCAGCCAGAGAGTGCCTTGTATTGGTTTATTATAAGTATTTACCCTTATCACCCAATTGTATAAAGCAATATTCAAATCTAGATAACCTTTGTTAGGAGATGACGACGAACAAGACTAAATTTTAATGAAGAGAAGAGAGAAAATATTAGTAATTTAATTAATGCAACTGGGTGAAAGAATTCGTTTACAATTGTAAAACAATTAAACAAATAAAAACTAATGGTACATATTTTTTCGAGATTTGCTCAGTACCTAGTACAGAGACCTATACCATACGAAGGGGTGGGTTTTAGCATGGGCGTAGCCACGGTGGGGCAGGGTGGGGCGCTTGCTCCACCCCGGATTTTTTTCGGATGGAAGATTTCGTGGTGTATGTAGGTGAGCAATAAAGTGTTTTGAATAATTCGAATTATACCTACATACCTAAGGATAAGAGTGCTATAGGATATGCTACCTTTTTGTATGAAAAAAATATCAGGGGTAAGATCGTGGGTATAGTTTGCTAGTTACATATTATTTTAGACTGCTGCCCCACCCTGAGCCTATGGCTGGCTACACCCATGGATGTTAGCATCGGTAGTCAAAAGCAATGATGTTATGAATTTCAATAGGCACCTACTTAATACGAACTGCAATAACAGCAAATGTGGATTTTGGATCCGAAAACATCATTAACTACCGGGCTAAGAAATGTATGTTCCACCTATTACTTACCAGTGGGGCCAAGCGTAATTTTAATAAGGACTGGAAGTAGGCTCGTATTCGGTGTTGGACTGGGAGTTAATGCACAAGAGTCTCAGGCATTGTCCTAATACAACGCGATAACGCGATCATCGCGCGTTTAAACGATGCGACCATCGCGTGATCGCGAACTGGGTGTCCTAATAGAACGCGAATACGCGATCACGATTGACACACAGTTTGGTCGGGTTAGCCCTGCCCTTCTCCCCGCTTCCTATCGACGCGACGCGATCATCGCGCGAACTTCAGTTAGGACACCTATTCATCATTAATAGGTTTGATTGCGCGTTCGCGCGAACCAAGTTCGCGCGAATAGATTTTTAAACATTTTAGTCGCGCGAATGCATCGCGCGATCGCCTATTAGGACACCTATTCTAGATCAATATGTTTGATCGTCGACTCGTACGATGATCGCATCGCTCATTCGCGTTGTATTAGGACAATGCCTCACACTCGATCCAACAAGAGTTACTGTTGCTTTGCATGGAATTTTTAAATATACCTACCATTGTCATCCACCCAGATAGCGGAGGGTGCGGGTTCGAGTCTCGTTTGCTGCCTGAACCGCGGCGATTTTCTTCTAGTATTTTTTTTTACCGTCCGGAGCAATTATACCAAATAGAACACCTCGATGATGCCATATTAAGTACTTGCATTCCCATTGATGTACCGCACCCCATCTGTTTACTTGTCTCACATAGCGTTGCCAGGCGTCCGGATAAATCCGATCATAGGCTTTTTGATTGCGTGTCCGGCTTTTAATATTTCGCAAACGAGCGAGCGCCGAGCGTGGCCGAGCACAAGCGAGTTGACTTGTCGGTCAGTTTTACATGAAAAAAAAGTTGTATCTAATATTACTGAGCTACCAAATTCTCAATAATGTAGGATGTCCGGCCTTTTTACCCAAATGTCCGGGCAAACTCGGTGGTCTGTGCGGCTATTAGGTTTGGCTACCTGACAACCATAGTCTCACATAATGAGCACCTTTGATACTCTGCAGCTCTTCTAATGAATACAGTGTAAGTACTGAGTGACCCGCCTCCACTTTGCTTGGGCATGCCAACCTACCTCTTGAATCTTTTGTAGTTAGTATAATAATAAATAATAATAATAAAATTTTTATTCAGAATTAATTTTTACATACCTACTCGTGACTTAGATCTAAGAAAAAACACAAAAGGTAAAGAAAAATACATAGCCTGAACTAGGAATATCCTGTGTTTCAGGCAAAGAGATCTTAACTACTTTAAATAATCAATAGCACAATAAAACAATAACAAAGACAAAAAATACTAAATCTACTTAACATTAATTCTGTATGACATGCAAAATTCAGCGTACATTGCAGAGTTGTAAACTGGGTCAATATCGGTCATTTGTTCTTTCTGTTTATTCGTATTTATTTAACATACATATTGGTGTCCGCATTAATAATTAGGTTTAAATTGCGATTCTGTCATACTAAAACAAAATATATGAAAAGTTCTAAAATATAATTAACAGGTGACGCTCTCAGGCTCCTTCATAATTTACATAGTTAACTTAACGTATTTCGGCCATCTTTTTGGCAGGACAGTCAGCATCGCCCCTTTTATGGTTGCACGACTTTTTGAAATGCAGACATGTTGTACATTTTGGTGGTTCAGCTTTCTTCGAGCACTCTTTAACGGCGTGACCTAATTCACCGCAGTGACCGCAGTTGTTCTCTGCTCCTCTCGACATGTTTTGGCTGCGTGACCATACTGCTGACACCTGTAGCACCTAGTTACTAAAGTAGTCTCTTACGGGGCACAAAGACCACTTTATCAACACTCTCTCTTTATTTATGAGGGCCTTCCGTACGTTTGCTGGAACTTCTATAATGTAATTGCAGTTTTCGGCGTCCTTTTTTTGTTTGATAGACTTAGAGCATTTATACCAGGAGGTGCCATAGCGTTCACTCGCCGAACAAAATTTTTCACCATTTTTGGTGCGGGACGAGGTACACACGTATAGCACACTAATGAAAATATGCAATACTCCCACAAACACGAGCGTGCTGTTGCTATAAACGCACACTTCAAAAATTACGTCACACACGCTAACAATTTTTATGTAACTATGCAATTGTTCGAGCGTACACTAACACAAAAATAGGGATGTGACATTAAAAGAATGAACGATATTTGAATGAATAGTTCTTGATGAATGAACATAATGTTTGTTTATAATGAAAACAAAATGTTTCATTTATTAATATCTATCTGAAAGCATAAATAAGCTTAGTACTTATGATTTTTATGCAAAAAATTCAATGTGCTTTTTTGCAAATTATATTGCTGTGCAAAAAATCTTTCCAACTGATTTTGCTGCCTTTTATCGAATAACCTGCCTATATTTAATTGCTTTTACACCCTTAATAATAGCAAACGCAGTATATTGACACAAAACACTGCGTAACTGACCCAAGCTTATCCATTCTTTGTTTAATATAATGGGGATAGCGAATTAATATACTTCAGTGAATTAAAGTTATTTTTTTTACTGATAATGTTTTCCTCAATGGTTTAAGAAGTCAATAATTTTATCATGTGTCATTAATTAGAAAAAAAACCTCAATGATTCAAGCTTTCGGCAAAGATCAATCCCATGCTTTCAACGAGTGCTTCGCTAGCGTAGGCTTATATATATATATATATTGTCACACAGTAAAAACTTTTCTTTAAGAATGCTGGACACAAAAAAGTTTATTGAATTAGAATTTCAAATTGTTCATGAAAATAAAAATGTATAAGAATGTTACTTATTTTTAAATATGGAGCGTGAAGCGCGCTTAAAGAAGACCGTGTTGCAGTTATTGCGTTGCATCGTTGCGGTTACGCTTGGCTTCAATTCCAATTTTTGACATACTGAAAATTTTGAATATAACCAAAAGATTCGTTTATCGTACCATCAACTGATACAATGAAGACTCTTGTGTAGATGACAGGCCAAGAAGTGGTCGCCCTCGGTCTGTTAGGACTCCAGCAGTGATAAAAGCTGTGAAGGCGCGAATTCAAAGAAATCCCAAAAGTAAGCAGAAACTGTTGGCCCTTGAGATGGGGTTAAGCAGAACCACGGTAAAAAGGGTATTAAATGGAGACTTAGGGCTTCGGGCATATCGAAGAAAAACAGGACATCATTTGAATGCTCGTCTATTGGACCTGAGACTGAAGAGATGCCGCGCTTTGTTGAAGTGATACGCGGGAAAAAAATATCATGAAATTCTTTTTTCGGATGAAAAAATTTTTACCGTGGAAGAGAGCTACAACAAACAAAATGATAAGGTGTACGCACACAGTAGTGAAGAAGCGAGCAACCATATTCTGCGCGTCCAACGAGGTCATTTTCCATTCTTGCTCATGGTATGGTTGGGAGTTTCTTTCTGGGGCTTAACAGAGGTACATTTTTGTGAGAAAGGTGTAAAAACGAATGCAGTTGTGTATCAAAATACAGTCCTGACCAACCTTGTGGAACCTATTTCTCATACCATGTTCAATAACAGGCACTGGGTATTCCAACAAGATTCGGCGCCAGCTCATAGAGCGAAGAGCATACAAGACTGGCTGGCGGCGCGTGAAATCGACTTCATCGGGCACGACGACTGGCCCTCCTCCAGTCCAGATTTGAGTCCGTTAGATTACAAGATATGGCAACACTTGAAGGATAATATGAGATTTATCGAATTTATAGTTTTAAATGGTGCTGATTACGAAAACAACATTTTTCTGGAGATCCAAGATTTTTTTTTTTTCAGATTTTGGGACTATGCAGTCCTAATGGCACTGTAGGCACGGAAACTTAAAAGATCGATTTTGTGACTCTCCGACACCTTAAAGTACTTATCTGTTTTAGACAGACAACTTCCATAGCACTCCAAGTTTCTGGAAATTAAATGTCCTCAAGTTGTATTATATGTCGTCCCAGATAGTAATTAGGTACCGCTTTTGTGGATTACAATAAAATACGCTACTACATATAAAAGAAACTGTGTTTTTAAAACTCTAGTAAATAATAAAAATAACATAAGTTATGGCGAAAACATTATTTGATTTGTCTAAAAAACCTAAAATTCTCTTTAATACAGAACCTTAACAATATAAGTTTTTATCTCCTGGACTATAGAGAAATACGAATTGCAAAATCCATGAACAAACGTTCGTGAGTATATCGTAAACGTTATTTTTTTTCACGACACGATAATAATCATGGTGCAATTAAATAAAATCTAGGGCCTCGTGTGATGGCATTTTCCACTTAATTTGACATTTGAAAGCTATTAAAAAAAGTTTGTTAATTAAAATGTAATAAAAGTCGCTCGATGTGGGCAGCTGACCTGATAACTAACTACTTAATTTGATTCACTTTCTTCTACCTAAACGCTATTTACATCAATGGTGTCGATTCTGGCATGATTCTCTAAACCTAAACTTAATATGACAACAGTGTATCCTTGTCATTTTCTACATAGAATGAAAAGGAGAGATTGATGTAATATTTAGTTTTAAGTTTAGAGAATCATGCCAGAATCGACTTTATTGCCAATAAACAAACACAAAAAATTGAAAGTTAATTATGGCGTCAATTGCGGCATGATTCTCTAAAGCTTAAATTTTTGACAACAATCTATCTTTGTCTTTCTCTATACAGAATTAAAAAGGAGTGACTAATGTTAAATTTACTTAAGAGAATTATGCATGCCAGAATTGACACTTAATAATTGTTTATAATTTTTGAGTGGCTATTTACCGGCATCGATATAAAGTACTTTTAAAACATGTTATCGTATTTCAACGTCGAAAGAAAGATTTTGGTGTCGAATATGGAAGCGTTCTCTAAATTTAAATTTGACAAGTGTATCCTTGTCATCCTCTATACAGAATGAGATACTAATATTAAATAAAAACATAACTATAATTGCTATTTCTTCATTCAAATGTTTAATACTTGAAAAAGTATTCATTTGACATTGTGGGTTACCTACAATGCGAAGAGATGGCGCTGCCTTGCAGCTTAAGGCTAGGAAAATTTCGACGCGGCCAATAGGGCCGTGGTAGCATAATGGTCAGTGCATTCGCCCGAAGTGCGAAGGGTGCCGTTCGAGTCCCGTCCGCTGCCTGGTCCGCGTGGATTATTTTCTAGTAAACTTTTCTTTACATTTAAACATCTAGCAGTTAAATGCTTAAAAATAAATAAAAACATAACTATAATCCCTATTTCTTCATTCAAATGTTTAATACTTGAAA